AAAGACGAAGCCCTATGCCTGAGAACTCTGGAGTCCTAGAGGGATTATCCTGGGCTAAGTGAGAGACCAATTTAGTCTTTATTTAAATTAGTCTTCCTTATTTGCTCATCTGGCATTTTTTTTGCATTAATTTTACTGGAAAATATCTTATTAAAATGTGATGGGGGGGGGACGCTGGGTATCTCAGCAGTTAATGATTAATCCCCTGAGGGCTGGAGGGCTGGTCCCCAGAATCCATGTAAATGCCAAGTGGACATGGCAGCACTCCTGTAATTCCAGTGTCAGGTTGTAGAGACAAGAGCCCAGAGCAAACTGCCTAGCAAGACTCAACAAAGAGACCCTGTCTCATGAGGAAGATGGAAGATGGACTGAGGATGATTCCCAGCATCAACCTCAGGCTTCCATATCCATGAGCACACATATGAACCCACACACGTGTGCCCCGACACACAAGCAAAACATATATACACATATGTACACGGCACACATACAAATGGGGAAAAAAAAAGTCAAAATGAAATTAAGCACGATTTGTCTTGTTTACTGAGCTCTTGGGCATCTGAGGGTCTCGCCTCACCTGAACCCACAGAGCCAAAGCAGGAGGGCAAAGCTGCTGTTGCAAAAGCCATGCCCGTCACCGTGACCTGTGAGTGCATGGGAACCTTTGTGTGTGTTCACGGGCTGATGCAGTCCCGAAGCAAACAGCAAAGAGATTGTGTGGCCTGGGAATCTGAGGCCTGTGTGGCTTGGAAGTCAGATCTGCTATTCCTTCCTGTGTGGAAGGCAAGCCTGCAGGAAGGCCCCGGACTCTAGGGAGCCAATGTGGTCGCTTCCTCACTGTGATCCTCGGGTGGCTTCTTCTGTTTTTTTCTCCTCTGGAAGGAGGGGTGATGGGATAACTTATACTACACAGAAAGATCAGGGCGTCAAGGCAGGCCACATCTGTGGAGTTCTTTGCAGCCTCCCACTACCCTGTGGTAGCTACGTTTTGCTCCCTTGAGCGTCAGCAGCTACACTTATGTAACAATTACCTTTCTGGCAGTTTTGAAGGTGAGAAAGGAGAGCACAACCCCCAAACAAACAGGCTCAGTGGGTGAATTCTTACCACACAAGCAGAAGGATCTGAGTTCGGGTCCCCAGAACCAGCTGGGCTTGGCTACCAACGGCTGTAACATCTACAGTGTGGAGGCAGGGTGAGTGTCAAGGAAGATGAAGAAGCTACTGAGGAAGACCCTCTGGCCTTTCCATGTGCCCTTACACGCACACATACCATATACCCCCACATACACTCACACAAATCTGGTTCATATGAGTTTAAGGGGACCCTTTCCCTGTGACCTACTGTGCACTCCGGAGACTGAGGAAAGCCACACGCGTGTCAGCTCTCTGAGGAACTAGCTCATCTATGGAGACGAGATAGCGCAGACTTGCAGGCTCTCTTCCCACCTCAGAGCCTCTACATGTGCGGTTCTCAACCTGTGGGCCGTGACTCCTCTGGCAAACTTTTATCTCCCCCCTCCAAATATTTACATCAGGATTCATAACGGCAAAATTATATGCACCCTTCCTTCTACCTGGCTCCTCCCGCCCTTCCACTTTTGCTTAGCCCAAGGGTAGCATTTCTTCAAGTCTTGAGTCCCATTCTGATTAAGCCTGAGCCTCCCCCAGCAGACAACCCCACAGACTCTACGCCAGAAGTCTTGTACATGTTCCCAATACACCCTGCTTAGGCACACCTCACAGCTGTGGCCTGATGGTTCTGCCCCTCGGAAGGCTCATACGCCTTTCTATGCCTCAGTTTCCTCCTATGTAAAATGAGGGGCGGGGGCAGCAGCTTCCTAGGGCATTCTGATGGTTTCCAAGCTACCCTCATAACTCCTCAGAACACTGCCTGCTCTGCGGTATGCAGGGCTGCTACCAGGGTGGGCATTGCTCTTCTGTTAGTCATGGCGAACTGGTGCCAACAGCTGATACAAATACCTCTCCAATGTCAAGCGTGCAACATGACAAATGTGTAAAGTTTGTTCTTGTAGCATTCCAGTGTGGGACGGCAGGAAGAGTCTTCCCTCTGCACACTGACCAACAGGCCCAGGACCTCCACAGAAATAATTCTTCTTCCCCCTCCTCCTCCTTTTCTTCAGAATTTTTTCTTTTATTTATTCTTCTCTCATACGTTACAACTTGATCGCAGTTTTCCTCCCTACGCCCACCTCCCCTTTTCCCCAGATCCCTGCCCCCTTCACCTCCCCTTAGGAAAGGTCTTCCAGGGACATCAGCCAAATACACCAGAACAAGCTACAGTAAGACCAGGCACTTATTCTCACATCAACTCTGGATGAGGCAACCCAATAGGAGGAAAAGGGTCCCTAAGGCAGATAAAAGAGTCAAAGACAGCCCCTGGTCCCACTGTTAGGAACACAAGAACACTGAGCTACACAGCTGTATCATATATGCAGAGGACCTAGGTCAGACCCAGATAGGCTCCCTGATCTCTGTGATCCCACTTGAGTCCCGGCCAGTTGGATCTGTGGGCCGAGTTCTTATGGTATCCTTGATCCCTCTGGCTCCTCCAATTCTTCTTTGACCCTCCTCTGCAGAACTCCCTGAGTTCGTTTGTCCTTCCTTCCTTCCTTCCTTCCTTCCTTCCTTCCTTCCTTCCTTTCTTTCTTTCTTTCTTTCTTTCTTTCTTCCTTCTTCCTCTTTTTCTCCCTCCTCCCCACCTCCTTCTTTCTCTGAGACAGGGCTTCTCTTTGTGATCTTGCTGTCCTGGAACTCACTCTGTAGACCAGGCCAGCCTTTAACTCACGGAGATCTGTCTGTCTCTGCCTCTGCCTCCCAAGTTCTGGGATTAAAGGTGTGCACCACCACTGCCTGCCTTCTGAATTTCTTTAAATAAAATATTTTTATCGGTTATTTTTATGTGTATGGGTGTTTCGCACCATGTGCCTGCATTGCCCACAGAGGCCAGAAGATGGGGTCAGATCCCCAAGACGGAAGTTATAGATGGTTGTGGGCTGTCATAAAGGTTTTGATCCAGGTTCAATTCCCACCCAGCTCCAGCGCTCTTCATTGCTGAACCATCTCTCCAGCTCTTCCACTGCACTTCTTAACTTGCAGGTCATCAGGGATTTTTGTGGATAGGATTTTCCTTGCCCCTAGAAACACGGCCTGTGGTAGCAATTGCCAAACTAGTGATGCTGAGAAAATGCCCTCGGAGAGGGGGTAGGGAGAAGCAGACACATAGGAAAGGAAGGGGGTGAGCAAAGACAGAGCATAGGGGATTGTGGGCTGTGCATTGCGCCTTGGGGTTGTGGTGGTCATGGAAGGAGTGGGCTGGCGTCATCCTGTGTGGTAGAGGCTCTCTGGGGCTGGGGAAATGGCACTTTCACTTTGAATACAGTAGCGTTGCTGGCTGGCTGCAGTTCTCCAGGGTTCCACGGAGTCATGGGCAGCTAGTACTCACAGCAGCTAGGGCAGTTGCATTTGCTCCAGGAAGGGGCTGGGCCAGGTACCCAAACTGTCCATGCACGTGTGAACTGGAGTTCAGCATTTTCTTCAGTTCTGGGAATAGATAGTCATAGGAATACTTGCTGTATCTGTGGCTTTGTCTCTAATAGAAATCACGGGTTTTAATGACACAAGTGCTATGATTATAGATTTGAGACCCTATATATATCTCCAGACCCTTGATAGATATTTTTAAAGAATATATGTGCTGGGTTGCAGTGGTGCATGCTTTTAATCCTAGCAGTCAGGAGGCAGAGGCAGGCAGATCTCTGAGTTCAAGGCCAGCCTGGTCTACAGAGCAAGTTCCAGGACAGCCAGGGCTACACAGAGAAACTCTGTCTTGAAAAACCAAACAAACAGACAAAACCAAAAATCCATGTATGCTATATCATGAATGTGTTAATTTTTTAAAATTGTATGTCTGTGTATGGATACATGCATGTGAATGTAGGTGCTCAAATCGTCCAAAGAGGGTGTTGGATGCCCTGAAGCCAGAGTTACAAGCAGTTGTGAGTCACCTGATGTGGGTGCTAGGAACTGTACTTGGGTCCTCTGGGAGTATACTTTTAGCCACTGAGCCGTCATTCCAGCCCCATAGATTTGTTCTTTCAAATATTTTAAGTGTGTCGATTCAGCTGCAGCTCTTCACAGCCCTATCTACTTTGTGTATTTTAAAACCTTATTGATATTATTGTTGCGTGTTTATGGTGTGTGTTTGTTTGCAGGAGGTCACAGGGCAACTTTGTGGAGTTTGTTTTCTCCTTCCACCTTTACATGGGTTCACAAGATTGAATTCTAGCCTTCAGGCTTGCTCAGTAAGCACTTTTACCTGCTAGGCCATCTTGCCTGTCTCTTACCTTGTGAAACTAAAACGTTCTGCCGACGTGATGGTGCATGATTTTACATCCTGTACTCCAGAGGCAGAGGCAGAGGCAGAGGCAGAGGCAGAGGCAGAGGCAGAGGCAGAGGCAGAGGCAGATGGATCTTTGGGAGTTCAAGGCCAGCCTGGTTTACACGTGAGCTCCAAGTCACCCAGGGCTACATAGTGAGACCCTGTCTCAATAACAAGACAAAACATTGAGTAGAAAAGGAGACCATAGGCTTCATCAGTCAGTTGAAGGAGGGAGAGAGGATCTATGACATGAAAGAGGCTAAAAAGCCTGTGCTGGGGTGACCGCCTCTTCTGTATTCAACCAGCAACAGGGGAAAGGGCTTTACTGATCAGACCTGGAAATAACATACATACATAAGGTCATCCCAGAATGCACTGGGAAGAATGTCGTCATCTGATCATATCTAGCTGCAAGGGAGGCTGGGGAATGTAGTTGGTGGATACCTAGAGACCAGAGGACTGAGCTGGGGAGTGCGGAGTAGTCAGGGATAGAGGGCTGTAATACTCATTGGCATCCCAAGAAAGACTCTCGTCTCGCTGTGTCTTGAGGAGGATGGGGAGAGGCCTAGATTCTAAATCTCCCACCATATTGTCTCCTTAGGACAAGCCATGCCAAAGCCAAGGCCGAGGCAGCAGAACAGGCTGCCCTGGCTGCCAACCAGGAGTCCAACATTGCCCGCACGTTGGCCAAGGAGCTGGCTCCAGACTTCTACCAACCAGGTAGGGCCAAGCAGGGGTGGGGTGGGCAGAGCAGTCCCAGGGTAGGTCCTTTTCCTCCTTTGCTACAGGAGGAAAGGTTGGGGGGGGGGGCTAAGTTTGGAACCCGTGGGTGTGGTGCAAACAGGATCTGAGACGATCCAGGGGCTCACGAGGAGGGCACACATCGTTATCTCTGTGCTGGCCTGGGGCCGGGATAGCTGAGGTTCCAAACTGAGCATGGGTTCCACCCCGGCTTGTCTCCTGTCTGTCCTCTGGGCAGGGCAGGTGAGGGGGAGCTGGTGACGCTGAAATGAGGAACAAGTCTGTGGTGCACGGGAAGGTCAAAGGGCTCTCTGCAACATCCCAAGGTTTGTGGAGAGTTGATCAGGAACTGCCTGTGTGACAGGCACCAGGCTGGGCTCTGGGGACAAGCAGCTGGGACCCAGAATCAGGAAGAGTCTCACAGGCAGCTTTGGAACACAGACTCATGTGTTTAAATTTTCACTTGCCGCCCGCCAGCTTGTCTGGAAAGGTCAATGGTGAACGCTCAGCTCCTGATCTGTGATGTGGGTACAAGAACAGTGCCTGCTTTCTGGGCATGAACTAAGTGCATGGCATGGCCGCAGCAAGCTTGCGGCGACAGTGACTCCTGATCTCACACAGGGGATGAACGCTGGGCTGAGGGGTCACACTGGGGCCAGGCCAGGTCTGTGGACTCGACACTGGCTGGGCCCGTTCTTGAGTTCCTGATCCGGTGGGTCTGGGTGGAACCAGTGATTGACCACTTAATGAGGTCCAGGGCAGGCGATGGAGCGCCTGGAACGACCCTTTGAGAACTATTGCACAGGAAAGGCCGGGTGCTGGGACAGGTAGGCGGGGAAGGCGGGGCTGCAGGTCCAAAGACACAGAAACGGAATAGCGGAATAGCGAGGCACACAGGAAGCTGGAAGGTACGGCAGGCAGCAGGGGGTGGGTTGGGGAAAGAGACTCAGGGCCGGGACACGGCCTGTGCAGACTGGCGTTCTCAGCATCGGGGGGCGTTTAAAGTGAGCCACACAGTTAGAACCTTGGAAACAACATTCTGGCTGTGGCTCACAATCCGAAGTGACACTAGGTCTGTCTGCGCTGCAGGAGGTCCGTCTTCTAGTCACAGTGCTCCCCCTGCTGGTCACAGGAAGCACAACACTAGCCTGTATTGGGTGACCCTGGCAGTAGTGGGTTTCAAAAACAAGAAATCAATCAAACAAACAAACAAACAAACAAACTTATTTCAGTAGAATAAGTGTGACTAAGCTTATTTTTCAGACAAAAGGATGCAAAGGGACCAGTTAAGCGCATCATCTTGGCCCTTTGCTGTGCGATGCTGGGCTAAGGATTTAGCGTCTCTGGGTCTCCTTTTCCTCCGTGCTACAGAATTCACAGTCTCACCTACCGCACAGAGTTATTAGAGCTGACTCCTTCCACCAGAGTCTGAGTCTCAGTGCAGTGAGTGGTGGCAGCCGAGGCTACCCAGCAGGCCATGGGTTCGAAGCCTACCTCTCTCTCTTGTCCCCGGCAGGTCCGGAGTACCAGAAGCGTCGGCTGCTCCAGGAGATCCTGGAGAACTCGGAGAGCCTGCTGGAGCCCCCGGAGCGGGGCCCGGGCCCGGGCCTCCCGGAGCGGCCCCGAGAAAGCCCGCAACTTCATGAGCGGGAGACCCCGCAGCCCGAGGGCGGTCCCCCGTCTCCGGCCGGGACGCCCCCGCAACCCAAGAGGCCCCGGCCCGGAACGTCGAAGGACGGCCTGCTGAGTCCGGGCGCCTGGAACGGCGAGCCTGGCGGAGAGGGCAGCCGGCCCGCCACGCCGTCCGATGGCGCCGGCCGTCGCAGCCCCGCGCGCCCCGCCTCGGAGCACATGGCCATCGAGGCGCTGCAGCCGCCGCCTGCGCCCCCGCGGGAGCCCGAAGTGGCACTGTACAGCGGGTACCACAGCTACGCCGTGCGCACCGGGCCACCTGCGCTCCCGCCCCTGGAGGACGAGCCCGAGCCTGAGGTCCCCGGGTCTGACTCGGCTCCTCCGTCCCCCGTCTCGGCCACCACCCCAGAGGAGCAGCCCCCCGGGCCTCGAAGTCCCGTGTCCGCCACGCCCACCACGCCAGCCACTCTGGAGCCCAAGCCCATCGTCCCCAAAGCCGAGCCCAAGGCCAAGGCGCGCAAGACAGAGGCCCGGGGGCTGAGCAAGGCCAAGAAGAAAGGCCGGAAGGAGGTGGCTCTGGCGGCCGAGGCCGAGGTGGAGGTGGAGGAGGTGAGGCTGCGGGCGGAGACTAGGCTTGCAGCTCCGGGCGGGATTGTGTGCGAGCACGGAGTGGGGGTTACTTGGAGGACTGCAGACAGGACAGGGACCAGCCCCAGAGGTAGTGGGACACTGAGTGTGGCCTGACCCTCAGAGGGCTTGAACACTAACGCAGAGGAGTAGCGGCAGGCGGGAGCCTGAGCAGTAGCACCTGCGCATTCTGGCTGTCAGCCAGGGCACGAGCTACCTCTGTTCAGGACGCAGCAGTGAGGGCTTCCTGGGAGGAATGATCCCAACAGGGCTTGAGTTTCCGGCCTCTGTTGGGGTCCAGGAACCTAACACAGCAGCGGAGAGCGTTCCAGACTCCACTGTGCCCTGGATGGGGCTTGCCGTATGTCCTTTGGAGGCCCTGGAGGATCGGGCTAATTAGTTCCAAGAATTCCGATATGGACCAGGGCGCAGGATCCAACGGTGCACAAACCACGGATGCTTGTAGGAAGACTCTTCCAGAAGCCCCACTTTTCTGTCCAGCTTTGTGATCTGGTTGTGGGTAGGGGATGGGTCCAGCGGTCCTAGGGACTCAGGCAGCCATTCTTCATGCCTTCAGGTGCCCAACACTGTCCTCATCTGTATGGTGATCCTTCTGAACATCGGTCTGGCTATCCTGTTCGTTCACCTCCTGACTTGACCCTCGTCTGACAGGTATGGCTAGGACGCAGCCTGGAAACCTGGGCGATGGCACTTGGTACTGAGCGTGATCTCGTGGCTAGCCAAAGTCCACCCTCTAGTGCGCAGGCGTGAAACTCCTTGCACCTCCCCCTTACTCATCTGCGGCTTCCTCTTTGCACTCTTCCCTCCACTTTGACCCACCGCCACCTTCAGTTTTCTATCCTTCCACACGCCCTTAGCTGGTTCTGTTTTCTTCCCAGGGTAGAATCTGGATTTGGGCTAAAGGGCAGTGGCCCTCACTGGTGTGGGAGTGTGGGGACAAACCTTACAACCTGAGTCTCCGGAGCTTGGCCACACTGAATCTTGCTCGGCTCCCCAAGAGACCTCCTGCTTTGATCATGGCTTAGTGTGGGCTGGAGGTCTCTAGGCGGCCCCAGGAGGGAGGAGGTCCTCCTTCTGTCACGGTGGAATTAGCTGGCGTTGGTGTTAGCCTCATGGCTATAGCTCTGGGCTCTAATGCTGAGCTATGGAGGGTCTCTGTGTCACTGGACACCTGAGAGCCCTTTCTTCTGGCACTGATGACTTTGGGGTCCAGAGAATAGGACTGACCCAGAAGACAGCAGGGAAGGGATAGGCTCCAGTGGGCCAACAGCCAACAGGAGGGAGGCTCAAGGGCCTGCCTCTGGTTCCCTTGCAAAACAGAGGCCTGGTCCCTACCCCGCTGGTGGCTCAGCCTTGGTCACCAACTCCCTCTGCTGACTAGTGTTGTCTCCCTTCAGAGCCAGTTCCACTGAGGATGCCAGGACCTGCCTTTCTTCAATGCCAAGCAGGTGTCCCAGGGGGACTGTACTGTGGACCTGAAGCCTTGCTCACATCCACTCCATGGACGTTTAAGGAGGCCTCCTGTGAGCCCATGCTGGGTGCTGGGGTGCCAGAGGAAGAGAATGTCTAGGCACCCTCCAGGGCAAAGGATGTCCTGAGGGAAGAGCCCTGGTCTCCTGAGCCCCTTGACCTTTTCCTGTACCTGACCTCGGTCCTGTCTCACCTTGCCCTGTCTCCCTCCCCTGGGCTTTTGTGTGTTTTGAGAGATGTCACCTAAGCAAGATACATATCTCTCCCTCTTCCTCCCACCCTATCCCCAACCCAGTCCTCTGGCCGATGGCTGAAGGCCACCCAGGAAATCGAGGGGTGCAGAAGTCCCTTGGGTAGTGAAGGGGTGAAGACTCTTGGGTAGTGCAGTCCTTCCCAGCCCATGATGCTCCAGAGTTCACAGGGTTCTAGGCGGGGGGAGGGCAGTGTAGGAAATGGAGAAGCCAGTTGAGTATACCAGCATGTAATAGTCTGTATCCTCCCACCAGTCCAGTTGGCATCCCCTAGGACCAGTAGCAGGGGAGACCTGAGCATCTGAGCCTTTGGCTGGGAAGCCACCTACAGGGGTCTGGGATTGGGTGCTATGAAAGAAGGCAAGGCATGTTAGTGATGGCCCCTGATTTTGAGTGTGCCCGAGCCTGAGCCTGGGGTTCATTTTAGATCACTGCTGTGCCCTGGGTCATTTTGTAGGAGCCCTGGCCCTGAGAGCTACAGCTACGAATTGGCTTATCCCTGTCCCCCACCGAGGCCACTGTGGAATCAGGGGAGCATGGCCCAGAAGCCTGTGGAAGTCAAAAGGGGCCACATCCCTGGTGCAGGTTCTCTAGCAGAGGCAGGAGACAAACATCATGCAAGAAGACGGGAGGAAGTCCGGGCTTCAAAGGGTGCAGCCTTTGCAGTAATGAATCGTGCTTGGCAGACAGTTTGCTTGCATGCACTCACTTAAAGAAGTTTGCACCACACTGAGTCTGGGCCCTCGGGCTTGGGAGCAGTTTGGCAGCCCAGGACTAGTGGGTCCCTATTCCCGGGAGGGTGCAAAGGGTTTCTAGGCCCCTCAAGTTTAGGGAAGATGAAGCAATGGCATCCAAGCTGAGTCGGAGGAAGCTGCTGATACTCTAGACTCCATTTCTTTGGGCTCTTGGATTTGGGCCTGGAAGCCAGACCTCCTCCCAGAGCAGCCTTTGACGTGGATATTGGAGGTCATCTTCCTTTTCTTCTCAGTCTATGGGCACCTTCTCCTCCAGCGTCCCGGCACGGCTGGGGCTCGGTTACTTGGTTGGAATGGCTTTTCTACTGAGAGGAGCCTGCAGATGTTCCTGTGCTGGCCAGTGTGGGCAGGACTTTGCTTCTGGTTGGGTTTTCCTGGATTCTAGGGAATGAGGGGGGTGGGTGAAGGTTACTCAGGAGTGTCAGGCCCTACGCCTTGGTTTGGAGGTCATTGCTTTACTCTGGGTCCGGTCCAGCCCTCAGGACAAGCTTGTGACTGTCAGAGCTATCAGGGCTGTTTTAGGGTATATGGGATGAGGGGTTAGGGTTCAGGATGCTACTTCTGTGCCAAAATAAATCTGCATCTGCTCACAGGTTCAACTGTTTTGTGGTGTTTGCTTGTGGATCCATGATGAAGGGCGAGGGCTGCTGGGTGAAGGGCACAGGGAGAGACCGGGGGATGGCTGGTCCTCCTACCTCACATCCTCTTTCTAAAGATGCTCCCATAAAGCACGGAAGGGTAGCCGAGGGGCCCCCAGTCCGAAGAAGGGGTCCAGGACCATGCATCTCTTAGCTTGTGGCAGCAGTAAGAGTCTGCCCTTTGGGGCGGAGACCCTCTGGACCCCAGTCCTGCCTTAGATTCTTTATGTCTGGGGCTTCCATTTCATTATCCCATCTATAAAGCAGAGGCAAGCCTGCCTGACTCCTGGGGTTACCAGGAGGGTTACATTAAGGACAGAAAGGGTCTAGAGGGTTGGATCAGTGGGACAAGTGCCGTGCAAGCATGAGGACTTGAGTTTGGATCTACAGAATCTACCCAAAAGTGGAACGCGGCAATGTGCACCTATAACTCCATGTCTCGCTGGCCGGCCAGCTTAGCTTAAACATGGTGCGCTCCATGTTGAACAAGAGATTCTGCTTCAAAAGATACAGCGGCGAGGTAATCGACGTAGGCATCCTGATGTCAGCCCCTGGCATCCATGTGACCCACAAGGCAAGTGCACAGCATTTACACATTCTTCCTCCCCTGCCTCTCTTACACACACACACACACACACACACACACACACACACACCCCACACACACACACAACAAAGTTTATGTAGAGTCCAGCTACAGAAAGCAGCGGAGAAATCTTTATCTCATCGCTCTCACAGTGTAGTGCGCGAGCTCTCTTGAATTTTGATGTAGAGAGACCCCAAGGGCCTCAAAGAGACAGAGATGACTTGAGCTTCAACTAAGCAGTTACAGGCTGCCTCATTGGGAGTACCAAGGCCGTCTCACCCTCGCAGAAGCTCGGGGAAGAAGTGGCCCTGCCCTGGCTTGCCCATAACAGGTTCCTGGGGGAAAAAAAATAAATGTTCGCTGGCTTGGTTGGGAACGAGCAATATCCATGAGGGTTCTCTCACAGGTCGTGGCCAGGGGGACCTCGTGAGGACAGACTCTGTCACCGCTCAAGCTGTGCCGGATGTCATCAGTTCTGGTTGTCCAACACTGCTGCCGCTGCCTTCCTTCCTTTGTTCCATTTCACTACAGAGAGTAGTGCCTGCCCGACAGCCTTCCTCCCAGGCGAGCTGCTCAGAACCACATACATAGATTCTGGATGGTGAAGAGGATGTAAAAACTCTATACCCAGGTGAGTGCTACGGTAGCACTTGCCTGTAATCCTAGCACTCAGGGAGGCAGAGGCAGGAGAATCTGAGTTCAAGGCCAGCCCAGTCTACAAATCGAGTCCAGGACAGCCAAGGCTACACAGAGAAACCCTGACTTGAAAAACAAACAAACAAACAAACAAACCCTCTATACCCCCATGATTTCCAGGAAGCTGGCTGGCTTTGGGTACCTCAGGAGGGTCGGTGCAAGCAGGAGCAGAAACAGAATTTGTTTAGCCTGCAGAGGCTTTGATAAAATCCACAGAGGGGAAGGGAATGGGTATCTGACCGGTGGCCATTTGGTCTGCCTTCCAGAAGACTGCCGAATCTTAGAGACTGAGTCAGGTAAGGCTGGCCAGAAGGGCGCCCCCTGGTGGATATCTTGGTTTCTGGCTCATGTCCTGACGTGGTGCTGGGGTCACTTAAGGTATTATAAACTGGGGACTTATGGACATTGATAAGGGTTGTGATAATTGACCATTGCCTTGTAACAAGCAGTTTCGTCACCCCTGAGGGACCTACAGAGACGCTGGCTGTGCTGAGGGTCACCAGCCCCGTTATGACCTTTGGAGGCGCAAAGCTTGACAGACTTACATGGACACCTGCCTTGAACCTTGCACGAATAAAAACAAACACCTGAAAGGTAAAGCAGACCTTGTAGCCTGCTGCGGTGGCCTTGTTTTCCACAGCTAAACCCTGACCGTCTGTGGGTGCAGATACCCCTCTTTCGCCTACATGCTCGTGTGCCCGGCTGCTTGGAGGAGCTGGTCCTTGCTAGCCCTTTCCTCCCTTTCCAGGGGCAGAAGAGTAAGCAGCACGGCTCAGCTCACACATCTACCTACAGTCAGATTGTCGCTTCTGCTCCGGATTCTTCCCCTTGACGACTTCCCATAGGGCAGCGATAACCAGTCTGCACGAGAGCAAAGCTAATAATGAGTATTCTAACAACTCCAGCCACGGCACAAGCACAAGCACAAGAGAGCCAAGCACCAGCTCCACCACGTGGATACTAGCCCCCTTGGTTTTAAAGATGAGGGAACTAAGACTTGGAGAGATGGGGTCCAGGCACCACAGAAGTGGAGGGAGGTAAAGCTGGGACCCAAACCAGAGCCTGTATGCATCCTGCTTAATCATTCAGTGTCCCTGGAGTGGGCACCATTTCTGGTGAAAAGGCAACTGAGGGTAGATGGCTATGAGACTGGGTGGTGCCTGTGTGTGTGTGTGTGTGTGTGTGACACGCATGTTATAGTGTACACCTTGAGGCCAGAAGACAACCTCTAGTCCACTTTTTCCTCCCTCTACTATATGGACCCAGGTCATCAGGCTTTGCAGCAAGCATCCCTCCCTATGGATTCATCTCCTTGTTTGGTTTATTTTTTAGCAGGGACCTCTGCTATCTTAGGAGGGTTTTGTAGCTGACAATGATGGAGAACTTCTGGTCTTCTGCCTTCCTCCTTCTCAGTGCTGTGGTTGTAGGCCAAGAGTACAGGCACGTGCCACCCCTCTCTGTTTCTGCCGTGCTGGGGGCTGAATTCAGGGTTTTTGTGCCTGCTAGGCGGGCGTTCTAGTAACTGAACAACAAGCCCCTGTGTGAGAAGCCAAGTTTTTGCCTCTGGTTGCCCATTCGTGAGCCCAGGTGAAGAGTTGGTGCTTTGAGTGAAAAGTGGCTCCTATAATCTGTAATAAACTGCATTAAATACAGTTTTCTAAAACTTTAACCAGGGAAACTGTGGTTGACACTGAACCTGCACTGGCTGTAGAGGAAGGGCTGAAAGTTCAGATGGAGAGCCTTGGGATAGAGGTACGACCATAAAACAAACAAACCCAAACCCAAACCCAAACCTGTCACTTCTAGCTCCAGGGAGTTAGCCATCAGAAAGGTTAAATTAAGTCAACGGTGGCCCCACTCCACCTCCAAGCCATTGGTGTTCAGGAACGGGGATGGGTCTTTCTGTTGGCTCCTTCAGCAGTTACTAGCGACCTTTCCCCACCCTCTGTCCCACTCTGCACTCCAGCTCTCATAAAGACATTTGGGACACCTCAGAATCTCTGCCTACAGGCTCTGGGGTCTGCAGGGAGAGCTGGGCAGTTGCTGGCCCACAAATCACGTGGGCATCTGTCCACCTTTCATCCTCTGCTTCTGGCCAGCCCCTGCCTGTTTCCTGAAGCCACTGCAGAGGCTCGCTGTGCAGTCCCTGGGAAGGAGGGCAGTTGGTGGCTTGTTCTGGCTGATGAGATGGGCTGTTGAAATCAGTTGGCCAGATTGTCTGCCTTCCCCGGGAAGACAGTTTGGCAGCTTCTGCCGACGTTAAACACGTCCCTACCCTATGATCCAGGCTTCTCACTCCCACATATTTACCCAAAATAAATGGAAACATATGTCCAAGAAGACGCGAACAAGAATGTTCACAGTGGCTCTGGGCATCGCTGCCAAAGACTAGAAACACGCGTGGCTGTCAACAGGAGAATCGGAAAACAAACGGCTCTGTCCATCACTAGGGATCTGCTCCGGATGAGCGGGGAGCAGCGGCAGATGGAGGGATCCCATTTGAAAGCCACCGTTATCAGGTGAGAAGCAGACACGTCAATAGCATGGGTGGAGACAGGAAAGACCCCAAACGGCAAACCAGGCCAGCAGAGTGGTTGCCTGAAGGACACGGTGGTTGGGCAGGGAGGGGTTGGCTGGGAAGGGGTGTGAGGGAGTTCCCGGGGGATGGGAAGTCCTGCATCTGGTCTGGGATGGGGAAGACACATGCATTGGCCCAAACCCATCAATTTCTACCCCTAAAATCTAAGCCTGTTAGAGTAGGTAATTTAGACCTCGGGTTTTTTTTTTTCTCTTTAGCATGTGTGATACAGAAATTAAGAACTTTCAGAATTTTGCGTGAGTCAATGATATGTGTGTACGCATGCACGTTCATGTACATGAATGCAGGGATATGTGTGCCTTGTGCCGTGCACATGTGTGGAGACCAGAAGACAGCCCAGGATGTTGGGCCTTAGCTTCTACTTCCTTTAAGTCAGGGTTTGTTAGCCACTCACTGCTGAGCCAGGCTAGCCAGCTCACAGGCTTCTCTGGGTTCTGTTTCCACCTCTCAGCTTGCCATAGAGTGCTGGGGTTGCAGAGGGACCTACTGTGTCCTAGAGTGCTGGGAATGCAGATGGTCCTACTGTGTTCATAAAGTTATGGGATTGTAGATGGTTCTACTGTGCCTATAGAGTGCTGGGGTTGCAGAGGGACCTACTGTGTCCTAGAGTGCTGGGAATACCATGTCCAGCTTTACATGGGTTCTGGGCACCTGAACACTGGTCCTCACACTTGCATGAAAGCACTTTTGGGAACTATCTCCCTAGCTCAGAAATTTAAAATTTTACTAAAAACCAAGGTGAGCTGGTCCAGGCAGAGCCAGTTACATCAGCCGCACATCCACCAGTTCCACTGTGTGTCAGCTCAGTGGCTACTTTTGTTCATTGGTGTCCAGTCTGGGAATGGGTTCAGGTGTTCGCTCTTAGTTTACAATAAAAATGGTAAGATTGCTGCAGGTCCCTGGCTTTGGGGTGGAAAGGGCAGCCGTGGGGCTCTGACATCAGGAAAGGGTCCTCCAGGAGCAAGCAGAGGCCCTTCTCCTCCACCTTCCCCACACAAAATGTTTTTGTTGGCTGAAAAAGGAGCCAGGAGAAAGTTGGGCATGAAAGTACGCACTGTGTTTCTCC